AAAATACGCCATAATATACAAGCGAGAAGCTAATGAACTTTGATTTTACAAAAGAAGATATAAAACATACTTTTATATTACCAAAGTAGAAATAGTACAACCCCTATAAGTAGCATAATAAATTATAATAGCCCAGGTCTTTATCACCGCATGGAAATGAATCTTTCCCTAAAAATAAACAATTCATTTGCAACAAATTAGATACCTTGTAATGATCAGAATTACTACATCAGCTCTTGTGTTTTCTTTCGTACATCTTAGCATTGGAATTACCAATCTACAACCTTCTTATACCAGCAATATACTTTCCTTTTTCTTTAGGGCTGACTTTTGTCTCTATTTATACCGTTAAGCTTACGAGCAGAATTTTACCTTAGATCGTACTTTCTTTTTTGGAGATATCATCCCCGAATAAACCACCCACATTGCAACCATTCACCCTATAATCTATCCAAATTCCCTTAAAAACGTAAAAAGAAAGGATTTTTTTTTTTCATGGGAAGCAAGAGAGTGGTGGTGGTCCATGATACATCAAAAGAGGTAAACTGGGCTGCCATTAGAGGGGTACTTCATAATTTATGTCTGAAGGCTGGAGATGAGCTCATATTACTTGGAGTTGTTCACCAATTTAATAACTCAACTACTACATCAGCTTTCCTGGGCACTGTAAAACTTCGTAAGTCTTCTATACTTTCTATTAGAAGTACAGAGGCGGAGCCAGGATTTGAAATTTATGGGTTCGAGATTCTAAAATTTTAAGTTACTAGGTTCTAAATTAATAGTTTATACATGTTTAATGAATTTTTTAATACAAATATATAATTTGAATCAAAGCTACTGTGTTCGGCTGAACCCATAGATTCTACTCTCCCTCTGCCCCCTGATTAGAACTAATTATATACCAAATTAATTCATAAGTACGTTTTATAGCAATAAAAATAGTTAGTAGTAATATTTAAAGGGTTCATATTTTCTTTATACAAAAAATGATAGAATAATATATCTCATTATTTCTTCAACTTGTTTATTATTCTAGTGGGGCAACGGAGTAGAGTAGACCATAAACTGGTGGAAGAAGAATTAGTTAAAAGGATGGAGGAGTATAATAAGAGTTTGGAGATGCTAATGCTGTTGAAACAATGTGAAGTTCAAAAGGTTAGCCTCTAAAAACTTTCATTAGTTTCTTCATGTTTTCTTTCCGTCTTTCTGAGCCGAGGGTCTATCGAAAACAATCTCTCTGCTCCATCGAGGTGGAAGTAAGGTCTGCGTACACACTACCCTTCCCAAACCCCACTTTGTGGGATTTTACTGAGGCTTGTTGTTGTATCCATCCATCCAAGCTTTCACCTCCGGTACGGAATTTAGCATGGAGCTCTACACGTGTATTAATATTCAAATAAGGAGAACAAGATATTACCTTACTGATATAGGATAGGCAATCACGCACTTCATATTTTAGTCACTCTTGTAAGGGGGCATTTGCACGAATGGTCCTTTTTAAGCCATTATCTAAATTCCGATCCCATTAGCTCAATGAGCTCAATTTTTGTTTGCAAAAAGAAAAAAAGGATTCGTCCAACTACTTTTAAAAGCAGAATTTAGCCCACTAAAGTAACATGGATATGTTACTTAAAGAGTGGCTTAAAAGGTGAGAAAATCTCACTTTATACCTATTAATTCCAAACTATTTATCCTTTAATGCCCAGACTCAAACTATTTACTACTCCTACCTATACTCCCCAAACTATTTACCCGCTAGTTGTTCCCAGAGTCAAGGCTTCAATCACAAAAAGCTTAGCTTTACTAAAATAAAGATTGGATACAGATTCTCTCTGAATAATCACTGTTATGTACAAGAGAATTTTAGCATACGAAGGTGACCAACTGATAACCGCAATCGAGGTTATTTGAAAAAATTGAACTAGGCTCTGGCCCCTTCCTCCTTTCTCTAATTGAGTTGTTTCCATGAACCATGCATTCAGAATTACATGTGGACAAAACTTACAAAGCCATGGTTTGGATACTTCATTAAGTACAAGAGCAGATTACATCTCAAATCTAAATTTTTGTGTGTATTTGAATATCCACCATTGTTGGTCTTGAAGCTCAATTTTATTTTTGAAGATTTTTTGTTTGATTCAAAGTGGGTGTTGTTAAATATTGCTTATAGTACCTTCTAGAAGTTCATACTGAAATTTGATAGCATTTGGACCTGATTTGAGGTGATTGAGATCGAAATTTTCAGTTGAAAATCGAAAGAAGAAACAGCTACAGTATACCACTATGGTATACAATATGCTGTAGGAGTATATAGCTATACTGCAACAGTACACTATTATAATTTACAAAACAGTATACCGCTACAGTATACTAATATACTATAGGAGTATATAGTTATACTGCAACAGTATACTATTATAGTATACAATATATTGTTATGGTATACTGTAACAATATGCAAGATAATGTAACAATATACAATAATAGTATACTTATTACCTGTAAATTCACTTGCCTTTTCCCTTTTAATTTGTTTTAAGCTTTTACCCAGCGTGAGGGGCAAATTGAAAATGCAAAAAAAAAAATTATAGTATGCTATATGATGTAACGGTATACTCTTACAATTAGATCCTTTTAGAATTTTTTAAATTTTTTATTGACAACTGATATTATTTTAGTTTAATAATTAAATTATTTTTTTTAACTCATTGCGTACAATTGTATACTCTGTTGGTATAGCTATATACTATACTGGTATCATATGTTAGTTAATATTTTTTATGGTTGTATTAGCTACATTTAATTGGTACACAATTTGATTTTTCTTTAGTAATAATATAAAAAAAGAATAATAAAAAAATAGTAAAAACAGTAAATGAAATTAGATTATGAAGAGAAAAAGAATATAAAAAAAAAGAAGTTAAATGAAATTAGAAAAGGAAAAAAGAAAAAAAAGAAGAAAACGAGAAAAAAGAAAAGGAGAAAAGAAAAAAAAAAAGAAAAAAGAAAAGGAGAAAATAAGCATAGAAATAAAAAAGAGTTGGAGAATAAAGAAAAAATTCCCCACAAAACCTACTATAGGTCGGAAATGTAATTAGTTTATGGGTAGGAAAACAAATGGGTAGACAAGGATAAATAGTTTTGTTTTTGTGGGTAACTGTGTCAAAATCCCTCAAAAAGGTCATACGGCAAATAATCACTATGGCAAGAATAGTCCATACTTTTTCAGTGTCCATTTTCCATTATTCACTCTTTCATTAATTATGATTTCTAAATGAAAATATGAATGCAGAGATCAACCTAACCATAATCATAGTTTTGCTCTTTTATTATTGAAATTAAATAATTTTTGTCTTTTGTTAAACTTATGATCCAAAATTATTTCTGCCGTTAAAAAAAAATGGCACCTAAAGGAATCTCAATACAACAACAATAATATCTCTAAAGATATGACTGGTTATGTCGTGTACTACCTATCAGATGAATGTTTACAAGTTTAGTTTTGAACGATTTAAACCGTTTGTCATATGAATATCCGTAGAAGTTATGGCCTTTTTACAGACGGCTATATAATCAATACCTGACGGAATACCAATAAACTATAATAAAATTGATGGGTGAATTTGGATCAATTTGTTCAAAAAAAAAAAAAAAAAATGTAAGAAAGCACAAAATGGAGCAATTGCGGGATAATACATCCACGTATTTAAACCTTTTCCCCTGTGATATAGTATGTGAGAATTGTGATACAATACTATACAAAAAAGCTGTAAATTTGATCCATAGATATCGAAGATGAGGTTCAATGATAGAGTAGAGCCTCTTCACTCCTCTGTTTTAAAAGGCAGAATTGGGACTCGCCCGGGGCTCGCCCCGGGACGGATCACTCGTAAAATGCTCCTGGGCTTATGTGTGGGGCTTACCGTGAGACTTACGCCTCGGCCATCGGGGCTTACGCCCCGAACACGCCTAACGCCCAGCGTACTAGGCTCGCCTAATAGAACTTTATGCAATTGCATGTAACTAACCTTGTAAATCCTCAAATTTTATTAATAAATCGTTTACTATTCAAAATTACTTTTTTCTTAATCATAAATCATTAAATTTATGTCATAATTAAAATAAAATTATTGCACTTTATCCACTAAGACTGATATGATAGTTAATTTTAAATAAATCTTTCATCTAAAAAATTATTTATTATTAACTTTTGTCATGTCTTTACTATATAATAGTCCATAATTTTTTTATAATTATTTTTCTAAATATTCTTTTTTCATGTTTATGAGATACAATACTTATTAATTTAATAGTGCAGTATTAGCTAGTAACTATTTACAAATAATTAGTTATCATGATATTGTATGGTGAATTATGTGTCACTTTATTAACTTGTTGAAACTTAAAAATAAATGATGCTAGAGAATCATATTTAAATTGTGAATTATGTTTTTATATAAATTCTCTTACAAATAGAAAGCATATTAAATAAAAGGAGTATTTTAAGAAAAATATCAAATTTTAATATCGAAATTCTTTCAAGATTCATTACTCCTTAAGAGATACATATAAGATTTCGTATCGAATACATTACTTTTGATGTTTGAGTAGTAACGACGTTGCAACTAATTTGCATATTATGATATTTGTCGTACTTTTCTTATTATTCATAGTTGAATTATAATTTATAAATATTTTAAATAGATTATTTGTTATAATTTTGTGATTTTAATGTAATTTTTATAATTATTTTATATTTTACACTATCTTAAAATTCTTGAAATTAGTAAAATTTAAAGATCCATGGGACTTACGCCCCATGTCTCACGGCTTACGCCTCGCCTCGTCAGAGGTAAAAAGCCTCGCCTCACGCGCCTTTTAAAACATTGCTTCACTCTCACCCAATTAGAGAATTCCCTACACATACTATCGAGTCAAATGGAATGCTATACGTCTTTTTGACAAACCCAATCTGTTTTTATGGCGGGAAAAGAGGAGAATGCATTTTGTTTGTGGGATTTCACTAGGTTTTTGCACTGTGAATCATCAGCAATCGGTCAAAATTCCTCTTCTCTCCGATCAATCGAAGCCAGAATTTCTGCACAGGAAACTGTATCTAAGAATAAGTAAACTAAGAAAGTTTCACATACAGAATCTTAAATCTGGAATTGATAGTCTCGTAATAATTTCAAGTGTTAATTCTTTCAATATTTGGTGTTGCAGGTGAAGTTTCACATAGAAGTTCAAGCTGGAAATTCACGAAAGGTGGTAGCTGTGATTGCAATCAAGAGGTTGGACGCAACTTGGATCATTCTAGATAGGTTAGTGATAACATCAGAAAGTTTACAAAATTCCGAAACTCAAATTAGGTAGCTGAAATACACGATTCTAATAAGTACTACCATTTAGAGTTTTACAGAATTTGATATTTATTAGTACTATATCCCGTTTTATATAACTGTGTTTGACTGGACCTGAAATTTAATGAGCAGCCAGGAGCACAAAGCATCTCGCGTCCACGCAAGGTCCGGAAAAGAGCTGCGCCAGTCTACCCTAACGCAAGCGTTAGTGGGAGTAGAATGGAATGTAAAGTAATAATTGAAAAGTTAGTTTGATGAGAAACAACTGCAAAGTAGAATTTGAATAGTTAAATAATCTTGAATTATTGAATTTACTGAAAGTTGTACAAACTAATAGTATCTGTCAAAATGAGTCAAATATTTTAAAACGTCCGAAAATAGAAAAAAGGGTTGTGTAAATGGCGGAAGGAGTATTACTATACGTATTGTTGGGTTAATGGCTAAGGTATCGTCAGCTTGAACCTAGTGGCGGAGCCACGCTTGCCAAAGTGGTTCAACTAAATCATCTTCATCGAAAAATTGTTCTATGCATATAGGTAGTTTTTTTTAATGTTTGTATATGTATAAATTGTTGAATCCTGTAGACACAAAAGCCCATTTGTTTGAATCCCTTTGACGAAATTCTTGTTTTCACCACTGCTTGAACCTACGCGAAGTTCGTAGTATAAAACAATAGTGCTTTGAGGCTTTCTTTCTTTGTTAACTAACTTTAGATCTCATAACTTGGTATTTTATGTTTGTAGGGAAATGAAAAAGGAGAAGAGGTACTTTATGGAGAAGCTATCATGTGGAATATCAAAACTGAAAAGTGACAACTCCATAGAAGATGTAAGAGGGTCACTAACATTAATGGAGAACACCAATGTCTCCCTTACCAGAAATAAATTTTCTTATGATGAAATGATTCCAGGCGACGATGATTCATCAGATGAACTTACTTCTCCTCAGCAAGGTAAGGAATATGTACAATTACCTCTACATAACTGAAATTTCTATCAAAGTAATATATTCTTCTGTCAATACATTTTTGCTTATGTTTGACAGTGCTCTAATGCCATTTCTTTGTTGATGAATTGTAGACTCGGAAGTTATTTCTCATGTGACAACCTCAAGCAAAGAACAAGCAAGCAGTATTCTGGGAAAGCTTTCCTCAGAGTTTTGTGAAAACCTGGTAAAAAATTCTTCAGCAAGTGACCTAGTAAATTCAACTTCGAGCTTGGAAAATCCTAGTAGTTCCTCAAGTTCTTCTCAACAGAAAGCAAAAACAACTGAAAAGTCACCTTCCCACGTCTCCAATGACCAAACCGAAGAGCATCAAACTGTTAAAGACAAAGAAAAAGTGGAGATGATTATTGATCAATATTTTTCTGGTGCAATATTCAAAAAACCTGAATGTTCAATTTGTGGGAACAAAAGGCCAAAGATGGGATGGCATAAAGCCTTCAGCTATAAGGAGCTTGAAGAAGCAACAGAATGGTTTTCCAATGAGAATTTTCTATCGGAAGGTGGATTTGGTTCTGTTTATAGAGGGGTTTTAAAGAATGGGCTAAGAGTTGCTGTGAAGCAGCGCAATGATATGAGCCTTCAAGGGGATAAAGAATTCAAGTGTGAAGTTGAGGTTCTTAGCAAGGATCGGCATCCAAATTTGGTTATGTTGTTAGGGTCTTGCTCTGAGCGAAACCAAAGGTTGCTTGTCTATGAGTATGTTTGCAATGGTTCACTAGACCAATTCTTGTCAGGTAAAATGGCAATGCATTAGTTTCAGAATCGTAAAACTCGGAGGGTCGAATGACCCGCCAATACACACATATATATCCAACCTAATCCGTCCACGTTGGAACATCTATTTATGCCGACGCATAATTGTTTTATACTTTGCAGGAGATATAAGAATGCCTCGCGATTGGGAGAGAAGGATGAAAATAGCTTTGGGTGCTGCCAGAGGATTAGAATATCTTCATAAACATAACATCATCCACAGAGATATCAGACCTAACAACATCCTCATCACACATGATCATGAGTCACTGGTATGTTGTCCATGGATTAGTTATATCCATAGTATATTAACAAAAAATTTACCAAAAAGGGAGGGAAAAAGAAATAAAATATTACCTCAGAATCTTAACATACACTGCTATTCTTGATCATGAATCACTGATATGTTGTCCATGATTAATTATATCCATAATACATTAACAAAAAATTTGCCAGGAAAGGGAGGGAAAAAGAAATAAAATGTTACCTCACAATCTTAACATACACTGCTATCGTGGTTTTGTAGGATGCTCTAATTAGTAAGTTTAGTTATAACCTTAGGTTGGTCCAAGCAAACTAAGGTGAAATGCAGAGAGATTAAAATGGACGTGATCATAAAATGCATAGATAATTGACATCCATTTAACTTAGGTGTTAGTTAGACTGAGACATTTATTTTTGTCTAACTATGTAACATCGACCACTTAGCTAGGAGATTTTGGACTTGCAAAAGCTGGGTATGATGAATCACAAAATTCTTCTGGTAACAATGTGGTTGGCACTCTTGGATATATGGCACCAGAATATGCAGCAAGTGGAAAGTTCTCAACTAAAACAGATGTTTATGCTTTTGGGGTTGTCCTGCTGCAGCTGATCACTGGGCTGAAGACCACAGACAATTATCCTGAAGATAAAAGTCTTGTTGAATGGGTAAATTAAATAGACCGTTTCTTACATTTCACCATATAACGCATGCTTGTTTCGTTCTGAATAATGATACTATATAGCTTTCTCTTCTCTCATTCCTTTTCTATTAAGCAAAATTACGAGGAATATATAAAGTAGCTAGGTGTGTGAAAAGAGAATCCCAAAGGTCATATTACCTACTAAGATGTAAAATGTATTACATAATAGGACATCCCTTTTAAGTGCAGGCAATGCCTCTGTTGGAGCAAAGGAATTATCCTCGTCTAGTCGACAAGAGAATTGTGGATTCCCATGATTTCCATCAGCTATTTTGGATGGTTGAAATAGCAGAAAAATGTCTCAAAAAGGATCCTAATAAAAGGCATACAATGGAATGGGTAAGTTTTGCTTGTAACGTCAGACTAAATGAGACTTATTTTTCTCTTGAATTTTCTGATTCTATGAGATATGATTAGTAGAATCCATTTTTTTTCCCCTTAAACTATTATAATCTTCATCAACATGATCTTAAAATCCCAACATTTGATTTGAGTATCATAATGACACACAACCCTCCCCAGACCCCGCTTGCGGGTTATACTTGGTATGTTGTTGTTGCAAGGTACTCCCTTCGTCCATCATATATGACACTCTTTATGGATTTTCCCACACTGTTGACTCATCAGTTTATTAATGCAGGTGGCTAAAACTTTGAACCATATAATGGAAGGAAGTACTGATAATTCTATAGACTTCAACCCGATAGAATCTAGTCCATATGTTCACAGAGGTGATAATAATATTAACAATAGTAGTAAACAAGGGGATGTCAAAGGCAAGGAAGATGATAAAACCCTTGAAACAGAAGCAGCATCTTTATGTTCAACTTACAGAAAATGTTCATCAAAAAGATATGAAAGAAGGAAGATTCATCTCAAACATAAAGGACCATCTCGAAGCAAAGGGAAACTACTTTATGAAGAGATGATTCATTAAATTTGTTTTGATGTGTTTTATTACATGTGTAAAGTTGTTTACTTTTACTATTATTTTCTGATTAGTTATTGGCTCCCGTGACACCAGTTCTATATCTGTTGTCTGGCTGAATGGTTGATACATACTACACCTTCTTTTTTTTTACATTTAAGGAGGAATAAAGAAAAGTCGACAATGATTTCCTTTTATTGCATAGTTAGTACAACAGTGAGGAAGAAACGAAATAAGGATTTTACTGATGTTGCGAAATGTCCTGAGGGAGGTCCTGTGGAGATGTTTGGAGGCTAGAGGCATACATGTTGCTTACATTAGGGCGATTAAGGACATGCATGATGGAGCTAAGACCCGGGCGAGGACAGTAAGAGGGGACTTGGATCACTTCCCGGTCATGATAGGGTTGCACCAAGCGTCGGCACTCAGCCCTTTTTTGTTTACCCTGGTGATGGACGTATTGACGTGACACATCCAAGGGAAGTGTCGTGGTGTATATTATTTGCAAATGATATTGTATTGATTAACGAGACGCTAAGCGGCGTTAATGCGAGGTTAGAGATGTGGGGGCAGACTCTGGAGACCAAATGTTTCAAGATGAGTCAGAATAAGACAGAATACTTAAAATGTAAGTTCAATGGAACGACTCAGGGAGTGGAAGGGGAGGTTAGGCTGGATTCACAAGTCATCCGTAGGAGAGGAAGTTTTAAGTACCTTGGGTTTGCTATACAGGGATGGGGAGATCGACGAAGATGTCACGCATCGTATTGGGGGGAGGATGGATTAAATGGAAACTTGGTTCCGATGTTTTGTGTAGGGCTGTCCAACGGGACGGGACGAAATTAAAGGGACGGGACGGGACGGGACGACATTTAAGCGGGACGGTGGCGGGACGGGACAAACGGGACGAAACGTTCGTCCCATCCCGTCCCGCTAACAAACGGGATGGGACGGAACAGAACGGGACGGGTTCGTGGGCCTTAAGTGTATTTTTTATTTATTAAAAAAACGTCTAGTTTTTTGAAAATTACTATGTTTTTAAAGTTTGTAACGGCTAGATTTTTGACTTATTTAATAAACTTAAATGTTACTATGTTAAAATGAAAATTAGAAAACTAAGTAAAGAATTATAAAATATTAAAACAAAAGACTTGTAATGAAATATTCTACTAATTATAAACTTGTAATACAATTATAATTTATTTAATATAATTTCAAAGTATTAACTATTAAGTAACTAAGACAATTCATAAAAAAACTTCAACGCTTAGAGCCTTTTGTTTTATTAATAGAACTTTCAAATCTCAAATACAAATATAATTCTTTTGAAGATCACCTAATTTAGGCAGTCACCTTCTAGGAAGGGTTCTGTTTGAACTAGGCCTCTTAGTAGCCAATTTCAAATTATCATACTAATATCTGTAAGCTCCTATATATCTTCTTTGTAACTTATCAATAATATCTCTCGGACATTCTACTGGAATTGGCAATGTTGATTGATGTTGCATGAGCTCCATGCCGTCATCGCTCCCAGTGGTAAGTATCTCATTGTATTCTTCTTCTTCCGTAGTGGTTAATTTTTCAAAACCAAGATTTCTTCTTTCTGAATTAATCCAATCTCTGAATAATACGAAAATCTCTAGAGTGTCCTCCACTAATGCATGTCTATGATCTCCAATTTGAAATCTTGCCGCGCTAAAAGCACTCTCTGATGCTACTGATGATGCTTGAATAGCCAAGATATCTCGGGCCATTATTGAAAGTGTTGGAAAAGCCTTGCCACGCTCCCTCCACCATGACAAAAGTTGTTACTTGCCTTCTTCGTCTTTAATATTTTCCAATCCTTGATTAAGATAAGAATCAAGTTCATCATCAATAGAGGAATCAAAACCTGTTATATCATTCATATTTTCCCATAAAACTGTTGCTCTAGACATAGAAGTAGAAGGAGCAGTTTCACAACCAGTTGTATCCATAGATTTATATTTATCAAACATTGATCTAGCATAAGAATATATGCTAGCTTGGCAGTTTTCGAGAGATGGTTGTTCATTTTCTTGAATTTCTAAATTCTCATAAATTTTACGAACAAGTCCCTTTGCACCTCTTAGTTTTAAAGATGGGTTAAGTAGAGTAGAAATTAAATAAACTTCGGGAATAGGGAAAAAATACTTTTTAATGTTTAAAATCATTTCTGTAATGGCCGGTGCATAAGTTGGATTTGTTTTATACTTACCAAATACAATAGAAATTCCACAAATATACCATAATATTTGTGAAACAGTAGGATAAATTATACCAGAATATTGTTTTGTAGCATAATAAATTTTTTCTAAAAATTTAGTAAGCTCTTTGATCTCATCCCAATCAGAATCAACAATTTGATCAACAGGGTGAGCATTATGCATATTAAATACCTTTTGGATAGGCACCCGTTAATCATAAGCAACTTTAAGCATTTCATAAGTAGAATTCCACCTAGTACAAACATCTTTTGGAACTTTTCTAAATGGAAGGTTAGCACTAGCACATTGTTGAGCAAATTCACGAATTCTACTTTGTTTATGAGCACGAAAAATATAGTCACAAGCATGTTGTATTTTACTACAAGCATTAGAAAATAAATTAAGACCATCTTTTACAACCAAGTTAAAAATATGGCATGCACATCTAACATGAAAAATTTTTGGATTAATTGGACAAAGTCTAGATTTTAAGCTATTTGCTACGGTTGTGTTAGCAGAAGCATTATCTAAGGTGATAGTTAAAACTTTATTAATGAGTCCATAAAAATCAAGTATTTGTAGAACAATAGTTGCAATATATGCTCCAGTGTGTTTTGAATCAACAAATTTATAACCAATAATACGTTGTTGCAAGTTCCGGTGATGATCAACCTAATGACATGTAACAGTTAATAATCACAACCATTAGGACTACGACCTATATCAGATGTGATAGACACTTTACAATCTAAGTGAAAAAATAATAACGAATATATTGAAGATATTCGGTTTGAAATTTAAAAACATCATTTCTAACCGTGGTCTTAGGTACTTGAAAAGCAGGGTTATAAGTTTCTTGTATATAATGCACAAAAGCAGGGTGAGAATGAAAAGTAAAAGGTAAGCCACAGACAGCCACCATTTTTGCTAAGTTCTCACGATCTCTATCTTTGTTATAGGGGCGTAAAACATGACCAGAAGCAGGGTCAAGTTGTTGTTGAATTTGATTAGAACAAGATCCACTAGGAGTGCCAGTACTGATGGTAGGATCTATAATTTTCCGGCTTCTATGTTAGCTTGTATCCATAAGATTTGTGAGCACTTCTTAAGTGTCTAGTTAAACCCTCCGTCCCACCACTTATTGAGTGTGCAAATTGTTGCTTACATTTTTCACAGATAGCACGATGATTGACTTTATCATGTTTAAAAAATTTCCATACAAGTGATGTTTTGGGACGTTCAACCTTAGGCTTACCCTTTATAGGGGGTACAGGGGGTAAAGCTCCAGACTGAGATTAATAAACTTAGGGGTTATATTAAAAGTTTGGGGGGTAAGGGGTGTTTTCGGGGGGAGGGGGGGGAGGTAGTAGGGGTGGGCATATATCGGGTAAAACCGATAACCTGAACCGTTAATTATTTATTGGATTATCGGTATTGGGTTATTGGGTTAACGGTTCGGTAACGGGTTAAAAAAATATTTTTATTGGGTTATCGGTTTGGCAATTCTATTATTGGGTAAAATCAATAACCCAATAAGGATTAACTAATTTACTAGTTTACCCTTAAGTATGTACATACTAGGGTTTCATAATTCATACTTCATAGTTCACTCTTTGATTTCCCTATTCTTTCTCAGTTTCTCCACCTCACGCCCTCACCAGTCAGCCCGTCAAGACTCAGGCCGGCGTCACTTGCATCACGCCCTCACCAGTCATCCCGTCAAGACTCAGGCCGGCGTCAGTCGCATTTCTCAGCTTCTTTCTTTCACTCTTCAGTCACATCTTCACTTCATTTCTTAGATCCATCAGATTCTTCAGTCGCATCTTCTTCACTCTTCAGTCGCATTTCTCAGCCGCATTCTTCAGCTTCATCTTGATTCTTCGTGTAAGTTTTTAGTTGCTTCATCTTCATCGTTTTCTTAGTTTGTTTATAAGCATTCTGCCTCTGGATTTTTCTTAGTTTGGGATTTTTGTTTATATTTTTTGGGTTGAAGAATGAAAGATAGAAACTTTGGTTAGTGTTTATTTTATTGGATGTTGCAGTAAATTTAAATTCTTGTGAAATAGAACAATTCTGAAAAGAGTTTTAGCAAAACAGTTCTTAAAATCTTATAGAACTATTTTACCGAAACTGTTTTATACATTGCGAAACTGTTTTAGTTGTTTTATCTTATCGGGTAAACCGATAACCGAACAGATAATGATCGATAACCGATTAATCGATAACCGATAAATAATATCTTATCGGTTTTGTTATCGGGTTATGATATTTGTAAATCGATAACCGATAGGCAAACCCGATAATATTCATAACCGAACCGAACCGACCGATGCCCACCCCTGGGGGGTAGGGGCTGTTTGGACCGTTGGCAACGGCTATTTTTGCAATTTAAGTCGTTGCCCACTGGCTAGTTTTTTTTTTAAAAAATCTGGCGGGACGCAGGACGGGACGGGACGAGATGGGACAAAACGGGACGGGACAAACGGGACGAAATGGTCGTCCCGTCCCATCCCGTGTTCCGTTTAACATTGGCCCCATCCCGTTTAACTTGAAGCTGGATGGGACGGGACGGGACCGAGACGGGACGCGGTACGGGACGGGCCGTCCCGTCCCGTTGGACACCCATAGTTTTGTGTGATAGAAGGTGCCAACGATACTTAAAGGTAAGTTCTACCGAGTGGTAGCTAGGTCGACTATGTTGTATGGGGTTGAATGTTGACCAGTTAAGAGCTCCCATGTCTAGAAGATAAAGGTAGCAAACATGAAGATGTTGAGATGGATGTGCGGACACACAAGGTTAGATAGGATTAGGATGAAGTTATTCGGGACAAGGTCGATATGGCTCCTATTGAGGACAAGATCATGAAGCAAGACTTAGATGGTTTGGACATGTGAGGAGGCGGAGCATTGACGCTCCGGTCAAGAGGTGT